CATTTCTCTATATGACAATCCAAGAGAATACTTTGTTCAATTCTCTCACTTTCTAATTATCTCCACTGCAGTGTCTCCCCCCCCCCCCCCACCCGTGTTACTGATGCACTGTAGGTTGATGCAGAGGTGACTCATCCATACCGAGAAGAGACACAATTATACCTTTTGAATAAGAAAGCATACTCTTCCTATTTCTGTCGTAAACTCAGAGCGGACAGTTCAAGGAGAGCAGATATAATCATGTGTCTCAGAGGGGTGGCGCAAACCGATAATCAGTTTATATCGTAACGACCTTGGTGGTTCAGGGTTCTCCTTTAATAATGTGAGATGAGAAACTCTCCTCTAATTGGCCCAATTAGTCTCTGTGCTATTTATTAGTAGAAATCAAAGGCTCTGATCTGTCAGCTGATGATGATGTTTGTCTGCTGTGCCCTGAGACTGCTTCCTGCCTGGATCCGGTTTTTAAAAATCTCTTTTCCTGTCTTTGTTTTCTCCAGAGGAACATGTTTACTACCCTGTTTCCATGGTAACCCAGAGGAGCATGCACGTCCAGGTCAGGAAATAACCTCAGTTTTACGTCTATCCGCCTGCCTCCTGCGAGAACTACCAGTACCCACAATTCTTGGGAACTGACAACCCAAACTGACGTTGAGATCGGTTTGACAAAGACATTCAGAGGAACAACAACTACAACAAAACAACTACACTTCTGTGAAGAGGACCAATATGGCCAACAACACGGCGGATCACCCTCCGGGGAATTCGGTTGCCGAGGGCAACCATGACGGGGACTTTGGGATGGCCGTGACGGATCTGAGGGATCTGATGGAGCTGCGGAGCGCAGAGGCCGTCAACAAGATTCAGAACATGTATGGAGACGTGCAGGGCATCTGCCGCTGCCTGAAAACATCACCAATAGAAGGTAAGACACATCCAACCAGCAAACCTGGTTAAAGTTTAATGAGAATCAAAATGCTGCATTTCCTCAGGGAAGAACTCAGAGCATTTGAGATTCAAGTTCAAATGTTCAAGGCTCATTTTTGTACGAAAAGAGATCCGTCTGTTAGCATGGTTGTTAAGCAAGACATCCACTAGAGAGCAGCGCAGAGTCCTACAGTTTGTTAACAAACATGGCAAAGGTACGAGGTTGAGATGATGTATCGCTTAAGAACAAAGCAAACGTGGCCAAGTTGTATCACCAGTGTTTATTTCCATATCTAACGTCAAGCATAAAATAGCCTTTAGATGTCAAAACTCACGTCAAAGTTAAATGACATATACATATAGACATATATTTGACAATGATTTAGTCTATTTTCACTCAACAGCGTTATCCTGTTGTTCTGAGTGCGACAGGGAGTGGCCAAAATCAAAGAAACAGCAGAGATGGTTCAAGGTTATCACCATAAACACAGCCTATGACAGTTTAACAGCTCATGAAATTGCACATTTTTTGCTGAATCATTTTTTCTTGGCCCAGTAGCAAATGTTCTGCAGCCTGGCTTTTGTCCACTGCCTGGCGACGTGGAGCAACTGTTTTGAATGATAATTAATTCAATCAAGATATTAATCAACATTAATGTGGTTGATTTAATTCATCTGTCAATGAGCTGCAGACTCGTTCTGCTGAGTCATGGTCAGTGCTGATTTACCAAGCAGCTGGTAACTACCCTCATGGTCACTGTGGTCAAATTCGGGTCTTGGTATTTGGTTTATTCTAGATTTGTATCACTCATGTACAGAATCAACAGATGAAGGTGCTGCAATCATATCTAATCTCATGACCCTCTTCTCTTGAAATCTAGAAATCTGATTCTCCTAAACGTACAGTAAGTGTTTGCCCTTAATAGATGGTGCACTCTTTGCTCACAGCGGGAAGGTTGTAGGTTTCACCTAGGATCTTTCTGTGAAGAGAATTCCTGTTCTCCTGTGTCTGCGTGGGGTTTTCTCCCGCTCCCTTCCACAGAATGAGAATGAAAAAGAGAAAGACTTTTCAAGTTCCGTCTCTGCTGAGATTTGCATACTTGATCTATTGACACATACACATCATGATTCCATTCATACTAGAATGAGAGTCTGCGTCAGCCTGGCGTTCCACGAATTCGTACTTGATTCCATTTAGGCTAAGTGGAGATTATAATTGCCTGTTGGTGTGAATGTTTGTTTGTGAATGCCAGCCCTGTGATACGCTGGCGATCTGTCCATAGCGTACCCCCTCCTCTAGCCCAATGTCCGTTAGGATTGACTCCAGCCTTGCCACAACCCTGGTATAAATAATGGATGGATATTTGTATTGTTAACTTTAATTAGTCACTGAACTACTAAACAGGCTGACCTGTCAGTTAAGACTTGAGCTTTAACCCAATTCATATAAACAGACAACGCCTATGGTTGATTCACTTCTTCTGTGGTGAGACATGACCAGTGTGGATTTCAGTCAGAGCTTCAGTTGAGGCCAGAAAATGGCTGACAAGCTGCTGTTTGTTATTTTTCTCTCCCTGTCTCATTGTTTTGATCCCTCTGTGTTTGTTTGTGTGTGTGTGTGTGTGTGTGTGTGTGTGTGTGTATTTTTGTTTGTGTGTGTGTGTGTTTGTGTATGTGTGTTCGCAGCCATCGGTCCATTCCAGGATTGAAATTAGTTCCAGCCCGTTCCCCTAATAGCTCCATAGATCATTGCTCTGTTCCATTTAGTAATCAGAGGACAGCTGTAGTCGCGTCCTCCACGCAAGAAATTACTCACTTTAATGAAGAAAGTGTAATTATATTTTCTCTGCAGAAAGAGGGGGAGAGAGGGAGAGAGAGACAGGGAGAAAAGAATTGGGAAGCCTAAATGGAAGATTGAGGTTAAACACACACACACAGTGATTGACTGTTACAGTTAACTAGGTTGGACTAGTGTCAATCCAGTGTCAGTCCAGATACTGATTTCTGTTTGTTGCTTCTTATCAGGGATATTGTGTCGTACTTCAAAAAACATCTCTTGAACAATACAGAATATGTACAATCAATGCGCAACAGAAGAAGAACTGCTTGCAGTGCAACAAAACCTTCGCCAAGGAGGTTGTGTTGACGTCCCTGTCCATTTCTTTGTTACTTGGTTGTTTGGTTTGTTAGAAAGATTGTGCAACTCCTTAATGAAATTCCAAGAAACCTTATGATAAGGCATTTTGGAATGTATCCAGTATGTTCCTTTTGTTTAGGATTCAGATGAAAAATTATCTGACCGTTGGTCCTTGGCGGAAATATGTGATCCACTGAGTGCTCTAGTTTGTTGGTTGTTGAGATGAAGGGTTTACATTAGCATGACTTTTAACACTGACATTGTGAGTCTCTTGTTTGTATCGATGGCAGAAGCTGCCAATAACAATGAAAACTATATATTAAGGTAATTACCTCAGTCAAGAAGGTGACATTTTCAGCCTGTTCGTTTCTTTGTGGTACATACTATTTGAAAATGTTCATCACTAGTGCCAACAGTTCAGACGTACAGAATGTGGAAAAACATAATGTCACACAGGATCAGTTCTGTTTCCCTGTTGTAGAATGAAAACCTGCAAGAAACCTCAGTTTCTGTTTGTGTCCTCAAATTGGATTCCTCATATTAATCTGGTTTGTTGTGTCGATGTTTCAATGGAGAACTGAAACTGACTTGGCTCATGGGTGATGATTTTTGCATTCAGAGACTTAACACAGTTATATTTAACTCTGTTTGTGTATCACATCACTGCTCCGACTGTGATAATGAGATGTTTCTTCTTCAGCTGATTTTACTTTCACTCTGTAAAATCAACTACTGATTGGACACAGAGAAGACGATCATTGTTGGAGATGACCCCCCCACACACACACACACACACACACACACACACACACACACAC